TTTGAAAAGTGAGCAGGCCAAGTGGCTGAAAATCAGTTCAAATTACCAGTTCATGTCATTCTTAAGGATTTTTTTTTTTTAAGTTTGGGTTCACCTCTGCCTCTGCATTTTTTTTATGCAAAGAGATAGACTTTCCCTCTAGGGAAGTTAACTGACTTAGTCAAATTTTTTTTTTTTTCCATACTGAAAGTTTGCCTCTGCCCCTGGGGAGTAACATGATCATTGCAAAACATCCTAGTCTTGGTTTAAAGTTTTGGTTTTTGGTTTTTGGTTTTTTCTGTTTTCAGCGAACTGGTCATTTGGCAAACTGATTTTTTTGAGAACTAGCTTTTAGTAAACTGAGTCTTGGCAATTTTCTTTTCAGAGAATGGACTCACAGAGTCTTTGAAAAATGCTCATCTGAAATTTTTCTAAAGCCCCTTGCTTGCTTAATTAAACTTCACTGGTGGAAAAGCCCACCACCTCAGAGTAATACCAGCACTGCTCTTGGTCACATAGCAGCAGTGCCTGGCACAGGACAGGTGCTCTCAAACTGTACAGTGGTGGTGACAGAATTCTTTTCTATCTCTTGGTCACCAACAAACTTCCCATTCAGTCATAATCTCCAGGAAACCGGAGGGGATAATAAAATAATGATTGGGGAGAACTTTTATTGGCTGCTCCCCTGAGCAGACACTGTGGTAAATGATTTACGTAAATTACCTCATTTGATTCTTGCAAGTTTTCTCGAGTTGACAGATAAGGAAACAAACTTAGGTAAAGCAACTTGTCCAGAGGTCACCCAGCCCGTCAGCAGAAGAGTCAGGCTTAGAAGCCAAATGCCGCCAAGCCTGCACCCTTTCTTAACCACTAAGCAAACTGCCTCCATTTATTTATCTATTTAAATGATAAATATATAAACATGTAAGAAGACCTCAGCTAATTTAAAATTATTTACAAAGGGAAAAACAGGAAATTAAGACTATTTAGGAATAGTTTCCAATAAAAATAAATTTCCACTTCCCCTATTCCCTTCTCCCCACGCAGCTCTCCCATACATTTCTTAAATTGAGGTGTATGGACGTGTGCATACGAATTCCACGGTTTCTTTGTTGACTGGTTGACTTGGTTGATAGCAGTGGGGAGTTGAGACTGGGGTAGAGTAAGAGTGGGCAAAGTCTCCTGGCTCCATCTCTCACTCACCTCATACTGACCTCGGAGCCCAGAATCCAGCTTATCAAACAGTTCTTCACCCTCTTCCATCTCCAGTATGTCCTTCAGAGTGAGGTCTGTCTTGTCATATTGGTAGCCAAGAAAACGCTTCTTCTTCTCCACCAGACAGAAGCAGTGGAATCTGTCAGCATCAATGATGCTTCTGACAGCAATCATATCCCCTCCAGGGTCCATCTCTTGGACCACAGCTCTTGTGTTTTCCTCAAATACCGTGGGCATTGTGCCTGGACCAACTTGGAAGAGGAAGCCAATTTCAGTTTGGGGGTGGTGGGGTGGATACTGGTTCACGTTTTTAAATCTACCTTTGGCAGCCTGGGGTCAAGAAATATTTAAAAGTTCTAGGACAACCAGGACTTGGAATGATTTGCCTTCCCTGTTTTTAAGAAGGTGTGGTGGTCACTGCACACTAAGGTGGAATGACTACCACAAAGGCCAATTCTCCTCTGCCCTTCATGGAACCCTCTGGAGGAAAGAGAGAGCAGTGATTGCCCCAAAAGGAAAATAAGACCTGTTTTCTGCATCTCCCACAGCAGAGTTGCCCCTCACTCAGAGGGGCCTGAGGGGTGGGAAGGCAGGCCCACCAGCCCCAGCCAGACCCTCACCAGTGTTGATGAAAGAGGACCAGAAAGAGAAGAGGGGCTTGGCTGCCAGACCTCACATTACCAACCCCAACAGACAACTCCTTCCCTTGGTTCTGACTCCTGGGCCTCCCTCCCTGCCTATTCTGCAAGGCAGTTGGATGGGTGTCCCCACCAACCATTGCCCACTGAGATGTTGCTAAATTGGCCTCAGAAGGAAGCAAAAAAGGTGGAGTACAAGAGTATCTTGGAGCTGGATGCCCTGGACAGCCCCCTACATCCAAGTCCTGTCTCCTCAGTTTCTGGTCACCTTCTAAAGGGTCCTCTTATACTTGGTAAAATAAAATGAATCCCCAAACCCCACCTAGGGCATCTCCCACCAGCCACTCTCCCCGCCACCCTCTCCGGGTTTACATTGGCCTCTGTACCTCTCCATCTTGCCTGCCCTGCAGAACCCTCCAAGGCCCATCGCAGGTCCAACCTGACACGATGGCTCCTCCCCTACTTCTGGTCAGTGGCAGCTCTTTGTCCCCACCACACCAAACCCTTTGGGTTCTCTTCCCTCCAAATCTTTCTTACTCTCTCCCTTTCCATCAATCACTCTGCAATTCCCCCCTTTTGAAATCTCTTTCCTTTTCTTCAGGCTCCTTTGCT